CCCTGAAAATGGGCACCGTGCCAAAACCGCCACTTCGCTATTTACTCGTTTACACGACAACTTTTTGTAGACACACTTTTATGATAAGCGTGCCCATCGGAAAACGGCACCTCTACTTCCCGTTTACGACGGTGTATTTTAAAGAATAAATATGTCGGACAGAAATAGAATTATATATTTATATTTATTGGAACGAAGAAGAGTATTATATGAGCCGCAAATCGGGGGGGGGGGACCAATTCAATACTAGGAAAGCACTTTAAGGGCCAGTTCATATGGGCAAAAGTTATCCTGGTTAGCGAGAAAACTTTTCGACAAGTTCACAAGAGAGATCTTGCCTTGGTATGAAAATAACATGAAAAGTTACACTGCGTTCATATAAGACAAAACGTTTTCCTGTGTACCGAGATCTCGCTTGTTGACAAGCCAGATCTCGGTGATTTGGATAATGTTTTTCCCATATGCATGAACACAACTTTACCGCTTAGCGGGATAACTTTCTGTCGTGTCAGCAACTTTTCAATTCAGTTGATATTCAGTGCTATGTCACAGCCGGAAACTTTGCCCGGTAAGCTGGATAACGTTTCTCCATGTGAACAGAACAAAAGTATTTGGCTAGTCGAAATGTTTTCTCGTTAACCAGGATAACCTTTGCCCATATGAACAGGCCCTTAAAGACGAAAGGAGTTGTTTTCTCGCGTAAATGTTGTGCCATCTTGTATTCACCAGCCACGAATTCGAGAGGTATGGACGCATCGAAGGACAGCCATTTACTACGACCTACTTACTGCTCTATTCAGCGACGAACAGTGGTATCAAAATTTCCGAGCCAACTAGAGCAACATTCACATTCTGTGTTATTTAAATTTGTTTTTTTAACTTTTTTTTTTATTTTTGGCAAGTTGCAGTTTTTCGCCGCTTGCTGCCATGTTGGAAAGAGGACAATTTGTTTTGCGCATGCTCGATGTCGAACACTTTTATTTTTTTCGAAATTTGGGCAAGGCACCGCTTGCTAGACGTGCCAAGGCTACCTTGTGAGAAAGTCTCGGCACGTTTAAATTTTGCGGCACCGGTGCCGATTTTTGTCACGTTTACACGCCAAAATGCAGAGGTGTCGTGCCTAAAATTTTGGGCACGGGTGCTCATTTTTAGGGGTGCCGTGCCCAAAACACTGGTCGTGTAAACCGGCCTTAAAATAACCAGAAAATTTAACCAGAGTGTAGGGCTTAGTGAAATCCATAGTGAAAATATTTTTGCTATCTGATCTGACTATTTAGGGTGTTGCCGAAAGCGGGCCAACCTTGCAACTATAACGTATACGCTGCGACTTGCACTGAAGTGGAAATTGATGTTCTTACTGGGGAGACGGAAATACTTCGGACAGATATTTTATTCGACTGTGGTAAAAGGTAAGCAATATTACCTATGCCTGGAGATTCGAGGAGTTAATTAACAATATTCATTAATGGTTCTCAATACAGGGGTAAGTTTTTATGGGGGGTGCACAGGGGTGCGCACCCCTTTTGACCTTGGTCAACAAGGTTGCAATGGGGCTGCAAAAAATCAAATTCAGAAATGTGGCATAATTTCCAAGGTTTTTCCTTTTTTGTCAAAGTCAACCTAAAGCTGATAATTCAAAGCCCATATTGCAGGAAATGGCCTGTCTAGGGTTCTAATTCTCCCATCACACCATAAAGGATTATAAAGAAACACTCGGTTGCTCACCCAGCACCCCCGAATGCTCTCCCACCACACCATAAAGGGTTATAAAGAAACACTCGGTTGCTCATCCAGCACCCTCCCCTCCCCCTAGAAAAACCTTGCTGGATCCACCCTATGTCAATATAAGAATGTTGCCGACGTGAGGTGGTAAAGTGCAACCTTGTCTTTTATCTTAAGCTTCAGCTTCCTATGATTTACGTATCTTAATTTGTACAAAAATATAACATAAAGCCCTGTGAATAAGAATTTTCATACCGCCGTCAGCGAATGCCTTCATATATTATACATGCATTATGCATTCAGTTCAAATATACACCCCGGAAAACGAGGCATATGTTTCTCATTCAATTTTCATCCAAGAATTTGATTAATGTGCCATCACATTTGTTATCATAGTATGTAATCTCGTTTCATATCATTCGGTTTGACTGTCTGCTTATTCCATAATTCATAAAAATATAACATTTTCACTACTGTGCTTAAACATTTACCATACATAGCATACGTCGTTGTATATATAGGCATTCTTTTTGGCTATGCCGAAACGTGGGATGAAAATAGCTTTTTTGTATAGTCCAAGAGTCGTCAATATGGAGTCTGTAAATCTACAGTATCTTTCCGTAAAAATATAAGCCTTAATGAAGCTTTTCATGCTTTTTTGGGGCAGCAATCTTTTTTGTTTACTTCCAGAGATAGTTTCCAGTCCTTCGCTGCTGGAAAGCGGAAAGATTTGCGTAATCGCGTGACGTTTCGTGTTGAAACAGCAATTTGCGTGCATATATTTCGCACAATTGGCTACCTATAAGTCATTTATCTGATGCGTTGAATTGCTTGATTTCCATATTGAGCAGTACGCTCTTAGCTCATGAGATGGCACGTAGTGACGATAGTTCATAATATTTTTGTGTAGTATGAATCCTGAGATTGACATTGGGCAAGTTGAAGGCGCCTTCGTCATGGGTCTTGGTTACTGGTTGACCGAACAAGCAATTTATGATCCTTCGTCTGGCCTGGAACTTACCAGTGGTACATGGGTAGGTGCTACTTTAACTACAAGTGATAGGGTGGCTTCGATATGTAGCAACTCTGCACACCTTCGCATGCAACGGATAATGCCTTTCTGGATTTATATGATAACGAGCTATCGCTACAATTGGTCTCGCTAGACTACAATTGTTTTCTACTTCGAAATTATTCACCAATATTGGATTTTTTTGTGATGTGTTTTATTTATGGTTACCATTTTGTAAACAAGTGTGACGATTCTCTCTTAATCTCACAACATTCCCCGCGTGCATTACATACCAATGCACTCTTCAGCTTGTTTTTCAATTTTCCCGTTTTATCCCTCGTTTCCACTCATTACTAACACAATGTTAGCCGATAAATAATAAAGTTTCAAATGATTAAAAAAGCAGCAAAAATAGACCTAAATGAAATGGAACTGTTTGCAGCTGTTTCTGTGTGAGTTTGACTCAAGATGCAACAACAAAAACTACGCGAAAATCTGGTTTTTCCGCTTCTTGACAAAATTATAGTTGATAAATTGATTGTGATAATGCACGCCGGAATGTTGTGAGACTGCGATAGAATCGTCACACTGCAATACAAGTCGGTGAAAATTCGTGCATTACTTGTCGATCCCCAGCTGCACTATCCAAATCTGGGTAGTCGATTCTGATTTGTCATAATTACACTCACTAGATTGATTGTGATTGGATGAGTTCAAAGATAACAAAAATCTGACTTTGAATGCCGTTCTTTTAAATTAACTGCTTGTTGAATTTCATTTGATGCAATTGGATAGCTTATTAATCTACAATACATTAGAAAAAGTTTTGCAGTGTAGTTTGAAGCATAGAGAGAAGTAACATTTACAATCAGCATCAAGTGTCAAGAAAATACTATTTCGATTTTGAAAATCAAAGTACAAAGTTCGTTGATATTTATAAGCCAGCCAATCAAAACCACTAAGTTCAGTCAAGACCAATCGTAATCAACTACCCAGATCAGGATAGCGCAGCTGGGGGTTGCCACGAATTTTCACTGACTGTCAGTTACAGCATAATACAGTCCCTTTTCTATCTCTTACATAATACTCTATATTTTTGACAAAATTGTAAAATGGCACACTTTTGTAAAATCTTCAGCGTACCTGCTGTGAATCATATGAATTCATTTTACTAACCTCGTTTCTCTGATTCAGGATTACCACCCCCCGTTTTCTAAAGATATCCCTATTGATTTCCGGGTGAACCTTCTTAAAGATGCTCCAAACCCTCTCGGCATTCTTGGCTCAAAAGGTAAGACAGTGTAAATAAAAAGATAATGTAACTTATGCTTTAAATATCAATTTCAGTCGTGTATAGTATAGAAAATTAATGCACTCACTGGCCAGTTACCATGCTTTCATGGTCGAATAGTAATTTATCACAGCGTTGATGTTTGTGATGTTACTCTGAGTGTATATCCAAACCGGACGAGCTTGAATAATATGCCCAGCCACGGTGGGAATCGAACCTACGACCTTTGGGCTAGTATTTCAAAGGTCGATTCCCACCGTGGCCGGGCATATTTTTCAAGCTCGCCCAGTTTGGATATACACTCGGGCCCCGATTACACTATACCGGATTGCATCGGAGAGACGCGATTTCTGTACCGGATTAGGCTCTTGTTTACACTACGCCACTATAATCCAGTACGTGCCGCGGCGCGAAAATCACTTCGCTTTGGAGGTGATATGAAAAGTAATCCGGTATGTGCCGAAGCAATGTAAGCAGGCCAATTCGGTACGCTTCGGTACAAAATCGGTTTTGGCGTGTACGTTTTACCATTGTTGCCTCTATTTGCTCGCTTTTACAATATTTTAGCAGGGGTTTCAGAATAAGCCGGCGGCCGGCGGAGTTCCGCCGGCTACTTGAACTTTTACCGCCGGCTACTTTTTGTCTGGTCACAGTAAAACATTTTATATACAAAGGTACAAGCGAACCAACACGATGTTTTGTTATGTTCCAATTGGAATTCAAGCAAAACATCACTTATTTTGGAAGATCAATAAGATCAATAATACATAGTACCAAACATAGCTTGCTTTCTTAAGTTGCTGTCGAAAAAGCGATAATATAAACATTCTTTGTTTTCTCGTCGCCATCTTAAATTTCGCAGCAAATGGTCAGCGGCTCTGAATCTTCCTGAACAGGAAGATGACTCTGATTGACTCTGGCAGTGACTTAAGCATTGGGGAATCCGAATTTGACAGTGAGCCAGAGAACGAGTCAGATTCAGAGCTACTTGGCAAATGTTTTTCAAGTGACTAATTCTTTGACAGTGAACTAATTATGATAAAGTGATGAAGTAAAGTTCATTACGTACATAAGTATAACATAATTTGATTAATGATTTCGGACTCATAAATTAATACTAATAGTGTACATTGTCATTCTGTTCATGCAGCTGTAAAAATTAAACTACTAGTACCACATTAGAGTACATTGTCACTTACAAGTATAAATGCAAATGACATCTAAATCTAACATGTCAATAGTTGTACTTTGTCTTTTTAGTTTTTCTATATTATTTGATTGTTAAGGCCCGTTTACACGGGCGATTGTTGCTGCGATTTTAGTTGCGATTTTCTCCTTTTGGAGGATATGAAGGAGTAGATTACTTAACGACGTTGTTATGAAATTTCATAACCTGGATCATTTATAACTCATCCACTCCTTCACATCCATCAGAAGAAGAAAATCGCCCTAAAATCGCATCAAAAATCATCCGTGTAAACGGGCCTTTAATGGACCAATCCCCAATTAACCAAAATTTTGAACTCAACAAGTCTAGACAAACATTTCATCACAGCTTGAAAGAGCACCACAAAATTAGTAATATTCCAAAGTTTCGTTACAAAATGTTGTAGCGGATAATATAGCCTTGGGAAGTTTTCAATTTTCAGTCATTTTGTATTACTAACGGGAAATGGTTACCACTTCTGTGCGTAATACTAAATGACTGAAAATTACAAACTTCCCAAGGCTATATTATCCGCATTTTACAACATTTCGCAACGAAATTTGGAATATTACTAATTTTGTGATGCTCTTTCATGCTATGATGGAATTTTGTCTGGACTTGTTGAGATCAAAATTTTGGTTAATTGGGGAATGGTCCATTTGCGGCGAAATTTTTTTAAATTTCCATGCGAGGGCACGCCCCCCTCCCCGCGCGATTTTTTAACTATCAGTCACAACCGGCTACTTTTTTGTAACAGCCGCCTACTTCAAATCATTCTGAAACCCCTG